GACTCCCCACGATGGCGTTTTCAAGGTTGAGAATACGCTGAATTTGCGTAGCGCAAAGGGACGGGAGTGTGATGAAGGAGGAGAATGGGGGGCTTTACGGGAGGGACTTACAGCACAACACGTTTACCTCTTCTTTTCTACTTCTTCTTCTTCTTCGTTGCTCTTGTGCCGCCAGGTATCTTCACTCTTGCTTGCTTTTTCACTTCATTACCTCCTCTCTTTCTTGACATTTTACCATGACGAGAAGAAGGGGTACTTTTCTAGATACCTTTTGAAGAGCTTCGCGAGTGAGCAAGCTTTGGTAGTTTGTTCCACTTCTCCCTTTCTAGTTCAGGCAAATGCGAAATTAGCCCGTTTTCTCAAAGTCACACGACTCTGAATTTACGTGAGCTCTGAATGACTCCTCGTTGCTTGCATTTGACACCATGTATGAGCCGTGAAGGGATACCTTTACTTGTAGAATAAGTAGGTATATAGTCTATCGCGGTCATGCCCCCAAAGAAAAAAAATAAAAACAAATTGAAACAAATGCATGGGGTACACATCATGTACGACACATTTCCTTCTCATGCGATCCGTCCATCCATATTCCCCCTCGCCAGCATCAGGAATCAAACAAAAGCACGTGAAAAAAAAACCCCCAAAAAACTCCGCTCGTCTCGATGCCATTGTTTCCGATCATGTATGCTTCCCCGCCCTGCTACATCTTACCCGAAAAGGGCAAAATCTTCTTTTCTCTCTTTCAATCATGCTTTCGTTAATATGGGCCGGACAGCCCCTTGTCCAGTGAAAAGTCAGTAACTTGGGTTTGCAAGTCTTTTGGATATACAATTGGCCGTTATGCGTCTTGCTTCTCCGCCTTCGTCTCCTTTGCATCTTCCGCGCTGTCCTTGCTACCGGTGACGCTCTCGACAGCGCCCTGAATCGCCTTGGTGACCTGACCGACCACGTTGCCGCCAATGTTCTTCAATGTCTTGGATTGCGTCGCTTCCTGGGAGAGACGGGTCATCTCGGCGACGAAGGACTGTCCCCACCAGGAAGACGTGTACTTGAAGACGTAGCGCTCGAGCTTCTTGTAGTTGGTCTCGCGCTGCTCGGGGGACATGGTCACCGCATCGTGGATTGCGTTTGCCAGCTCCTCGGTGTTCCATGGGTTGACGATAAGAGAGCCGTTGAGGGACTGGGCGGCGCCGGTGAACTCGGACAGAATCATGACACCGTGACGCTCGCGCTGAGTAGCGATATACTCGTACGAGACCAGGTTCATGCCATCGCGCGTGGAGGAAACAAGACAGACGTCTGAAACGGCGTACAGAGCTGTGAGCTCGTCGAAGGAGACGCTCTGGTGGAGGAAGTGAATGGGCATGAACTCGATGGTGCCAAACTTGCCGTTAATACGGCCGACAAGCTCATTGACCACGGCACGCAGATTCTGATACTCCTCAACGTCCTGTCTCGAAGGCACGGCAACCTGAACTAGCACGATCTTGCCGATCCACTCGGGGTGTTCTGTCAAGAAGACTTCCAATGCGTGGAGCTTCTGAGGGACACCCTTGATGTAGTCAAGGCGGTCGACACCGACAATGAGTTTGACTCCGTTGAACTTGCGCGTAAGGGCGTCAATTCGCTCCTGAACCTTGGGTTTCTTGAGGCCCTCGACGAACTTCTCAGGGTCAATACCAATGGGGAATGCGCCAACGGTGACGAATTTGCCATTGTAATCAACACCATTGGGGGTCGTAGGAGTTCCACTACATGTGACGTTAGTATGTGTCTAAGAGAGAACAAGTTTTCGCCTTTCGATTGTCTCTTACAGAATGCGAGAGCAACTGCTCAAGAAGTGACGAGCGTAGTCATAGGTGTGGAATCCGATTAGGTCGCAGTCGAGGACGCCCGTCAGGAGGGCTTCGCGGACAGGAAGAATACGGTAGATTTCGGAAGAAGGGAAAGGCGTGTGCAGGAAGAAGCCAATCTTGACATTCTTCTTGGAGTCGCCAATCTCCTCGCGAAGCATCTCAGGCAGCAACATCAGATGATAGTCGTGAACCCAGATAAGATCGCCATCTTGAACATCCTGGACGACAGCCTTGGCAAATAGGCGGTTGACTTCGCGGTAAGCAGCCCATGCGCTCTCGTCAAATGTGATTTCACCGGGGTGGTAGTGGAAAAGCGGCCAGAGAATAGAGTCTGCGAAAAAGGGTCGATTGTTAGTAGAGCTACAAGACACAGAGGCAAGGGAGGCTTGTCCATACTAGAGAAGCCATTGTAGTGCTTGTCAGCGAGCTCGTCGTCAATGAAGACAGGGTGAGCATCGTATTCGTCCTTGAGGCGCTGCTTCATGCCGGCAATTTCGTTCTCGGGGACTTCGAGGCCTGGCCAGCCGTACCATTGAAAGCTGGTGGTTTTTGACAGACCACTGAGACCGGTGACGAGACCACCAGAGGACATGGAGAAGGAGTAACTGCCATCGTCGGAACGCTTGATGGTGATGGGCAGTCGGTTGGAGAGTAGTAGTAGGCGACCGGGTGCAGTCTCTTCGTCGGGTACGAGCGAAGGCATCTTGGGCGATTTGGGCGGTGCTGAAGGTGTTCGGTGGAAGATGGTTGTGCGAAAGATTTCGCGGATGGTTCGTTCGATGGGTGGCAGGTAATTAGGGAACAGCAGTAGCTAAGGTGTGCCGGGGTTACTGTGGCGGGAGGGTAAGGTGTTAGCTGAGACTGGCTGGGATGAGCTTGCGGGGATGATGGAGGGGTAAATACCAGGAAGATCAAGTACCCAAAGCTCAAGTAACAGCGACGTAAAAAGCACACAGGGGTGGGCTGGTGCTGGATATAGCTCCGTCGCAAAAGTCGAGAGCTTCTTGAGTTGCCGAGAGAGGTGGGAGTGAATCGTGGTTCGCAGAGAAGCTTCAAATAAGGGCGACGGCGACTAGTGTATGTATAAGGTATGTTGACGGGACGGTAGGGATGCAGTGGTATTGGAAGAAGCCGGGCTGTCGGACGCAAGCTACGTGGAAACGTAATGCACGAAAGCAAGCAGTGCAATGTAGGACAAGCTTGGTCTGGGTGAATGGAGAGAGGAGAAAACCTCAGGTGTGTGAGGGAATATGGTGAGGTGGAAAGAGACGGAAGACGGCGGCTAGTCAGTGGTTGGCTTGCCAGGTTGCGTTTGTTGACTGAGTGAGAACTTCGGGGGTGAGAGGGCAGACGAGAGGGTGTTGAGAAGAAGCAAGAAAGTGCCAATCCGGTTCAGTGCAATCCAAACTAGACGGGCAGCAGCTGCACGACGGAGAAAGCTCGACCTGATGCAACACTGGCGCACTACTGTAAGGCAGAGCTTGCGTTTCCCCAGAAGTAGAGGTACTTGGTTTGTGGGGCACGTTGGATCAAGGCAATGGAGAAAGGTACGAACGGATTTGACGCTTTTCTAAGTTTACATGTGTGGTGTTATTTGGATGGCAACACCGCAAGATAAGAGAAGAGCACCAAACGCGGCAGACGAAACGTGGCTACCCAAGATAGGCATCCAATGACATATTGGATTGAAGTGAGGTAGAAGCCGGAGCATGCCTACCAGAGAGCAATGTACAGAGTATGATGTTGGAACTTGGGCACCGCTGGTACTTCGTACAGATACCTGGTGCCGTGCCATCTACGTAATTCTGGGTAGAGATCCATGTCAAATCATTGCGAGGAATTCCCGGCCCTGTCACTCTTTTCTCTGCCACCCCTCCAACCTCTCTCTAATTACAGGCCGTCTCTCCTACTACAGTCTTTCTGGGCGGACAAATAGACAATCTCACCGGGGGGCAACATGAGCGATGTTTTTCCAACAGGCCCGTCCAGCCGAATCTACCTCACCTGCGTTTTCTGCCATCCCTTTCTCTCGCCGAACAAGCCCAAAGACATCCAGAGCTTGGGGCGCTAAGTAGATGTACACGAGACCTGGGCACCTTCCGCCAGGCGGTGGAGAATCCGGCGCCGAGATGTGGGTATTTTATCGGCGGTAGAGGAGAGAATGTTCACGATGTATCTTGAAAATTTCCCTGCATCCACCCATCTTAAAGACATCCGGTCTATCCTGCAGATCGAGCCTCCAGGCTTCGGGTGGCTTGCCGGCGACAATATGAGCCTTTCGCTGCCACACAAGAGCCCTCTTTCCCCCCTATTCCGCTCAACTGCGCTGCTCCAGCTGCTTCCTTGCTCTTTGGAGAAAAGAGTACCTTGCATCTGTTCGCTAATAGGTCGATGTTCTGCTATGTAATGCTTAATCCCGAGGATTTTGAAGCTAGGGCTTCGCATTTACAGCTGGGTGCACATGAAGTGTGATCGGTCCCGCATCGTAAATGTGCTGTCACCATCCTAGGATCAAATATTATCTAGCATCATCATCAACATGCTTACCCTCTGTCATTGTAGTTGCGCAGGAGCTTTGGCCCCGACTGCTGGGCGTTTCGACCATCTCGTACCCAATGACATACACTAGATGCCCAGAGAACGATCCAGTCCAATCATCCAACCCACAAGGTCGACCAGGCTCCCCGTTTGGCTACCGCAGACTGACATCGATGGCCCCATAACTTTCGGACCAAAATGTCCTGACACCCGCAAGTCCAAGTTTGCGATGTTGACTGGCTGTATTAGTCTCCGGGCCGACTTGAGCCAGTTTGAAACCATTTCGGATCCGAACTTGCATACCAATAACGGATCGAAATATGTATCATGGAGATAGCACATACGGCAGCATTGAGGGCTACCTTACCTTGCCTAAAGTCGCGCTGTTGCCTGGGCCAGCTTTTCACTACCTTGCGCCAAATAATCAAGCTGCTTTCGAGACCAATCCTCAGCACTATCTACACCATTTCACTCAACGTCGCAGATCAAGTAAAGCAAGTCTGCTTTTGAATACACGCCATTTTTCATACCCAACTGAGGTTCCAAAGAGAATTGGGACGGTATGTAGTCCAATCGCTGAGAACTTATTGTCACGTTATATCAATAAAGGATTCACCCAACCATGCGCATGAAAGGATGCTGCCATCTTTCCTTCCTCGCGGCGCCGTTGCATCCTCCCTTCTACATATGTAAAAAAGCTCGGACCAGGCCCGATATTGACGTCGGATGACTGCCGCCCCACTCCGGTCGAACCAGTTGCAGCTTACCCCGGTTGCGCTTGATTTGCGCCTGCCCGCGTCGCCGTCCACCTGCTGCGCTCAGACACCGTCCCTCGACGCGACTTCCTGCGCGACAGAGCCCCAAAGCTCCTGCATTCTACCCCATTTCGCGCCAGGTGCCATATGGAAATGTAATTGTATTTCACGACGGCATCAACGTTCAATTGCTCCATTGAATTAACCCATCCTATCCCGGCGAATACTTCAAGCATGGCTCCCTCAGACAAGGAGATTGAGGCGACGATCCTCGCGAAAGTTCGCGAAGTCTTCAAGACGGATATCGATAACCTCAACGTGAACTCGATCCGAAGGCGCGTCGAATCAGACCTTGAACTCGAAGATGATTTGCTTTCTTCGGGAAAATGGAAGGACAAGAGCAAAAAGCTCATCAAGGAGCTCGCCGTAATTACTCAAACCCCTCCCTGACACTGGCACGGGCACGAATACCGCCGGCAGTGTCGGAGCATGTCTTTCTGACATCATACTAGACCGACCTCGTGGAGGGCAATGCAGACCCCGATGCAGACGTCGGGCCTCCGGAAGACGAAGAGGATGCGAAGCCAAAGAAGTCTGGCAAGCGTCAAGCAGCCGAAAAATCACCGCCTGCCAAGCGCAGAAAGCGCGCCTCTGCCAAAGTAGAGGAATCCGAGGCGAGCGCCTCCGAGGAAGAGAAGCCACAGCCGAAGCCGAAGAAGAAAGCAGCCCCGCGGAAGAAGAAGGAGGAAACTCCTGTCATCGACTCCGAGTCTGACGAAGCGAGCCCTGCCAAGCCGAAGGCGTCTAAACCCACCAACGGACGTGCGAGCAAGGCTGAAGAGAGTGGTTCAGATGCCTTGAGCTCCCCGCCTGACAGCGAGGACGACAAGGTTGAGGATAAGGAAGAAAAGTCACAAGACGAGAAGGTTGAGGCAAAAAAGGATGACGAGTCAACCGAGAAGCAGCCTGAAGCTTCAGCTGACAAGAAGGCCGAGGATCCAGCAGACGACACGACCAGCGAGCTATCGGACGTCATAGACGAGCCACCCAAACCGAAACGTAAGAAGAAGGAAGCCGGGGCGGGCAGTAAAACCAAGGCCAAGGCACCCAAGCAAAAGAAGGCACCGGCAGCCCCAGAGAACCCTGACGATGCGGAAATCAAAAAGCTACAGTCCCATTTGGTCAAGTGTGGTATTCGCAAGATCTGGGGCTTCGAGTTGAAGCAATACGGAGACGATACCAAGGCCAAGATGAGGCACTTAAGAGGCATGCTCAAAGATATCGGAATGGATGGTCGGTTTTCAGAAGCCAAGGCAAAAGAGATCAAGGAGCGCAGAGAGTTGGAGGCGGACTTGGAAGCAGTTCAGGAGATGAATGCCAACTGGGGCGCAGAAGGCAGATCATCTCGAAGCAAAGCGCGTGGCCAACCAGCCCCCAAGAAGGCTGTGAAGGATGATGTTTCTGACGACGAGAACGTCAAAGACGACGACGACGAAGATGATGAGGATGAGGGGTCACACATCCCGTCGCGGGCACGAGGCAAGGCGCGAGCGGACCTGGCGTTCCTCGGCGACGACGACGAAGAATCAGACTGATGTAACGAATAGTGTGATGGGACATTGTATCATGTGTTGGCGGACCATCATACATATGAGTGTGCTTTTTGCTGGTTGTATAACATATGTACCTTGAAAGCATGAGGTCTCTGGTTTTTTTTGTGGCGCTACATCGCGGAGTGTCGCCCGAAGAGGACGAGGGGCCACCAAAAGGCTGTACACGATCTTAATGCACTAATTTTTGGACCACGGTGGGTTTCTCACGAATTCGGGACAATTGACAACTTATTCTACCCACTCACAGCTCGCGGATGGAAGCAAATCCTTACTTGAGTCTTAGTTTCTTCTCCAGCTCAAGCGGGCCTCTCAAGTTAACTGGTGTCAGTACTCCGTATCCGCCATCCGCCAGCACCCCTCTGGTCCTCTGGGAACTTGGCAACTTTGGATCCATCCATTTCCCCAAAAAGCCGGAGACGCGAAGACAAGGCGCAAAGCTGCTCGTGTTGTTTTAGACGCGCCAGTAAGACAAGAGCATGGCCGCACGAAATGGGGCTGGGAACCTCCCGGTTCGGTGTTGAGGAGTGAGAGCACCGGCCAAACAGAGGGGAAAGCTTCCCCGCCAGGTGGTCCGTACGAATACTAGACGTCTCTTGTGTCTCCAATTTACCCCGCCGCGGGCGTGCGTCCCCGCAGACGCCGTCATTTCTCTTCAACTGTTTCCCCCCCTCCTCCATCGGCCATCCTCGTCCAAACACCCCACTACATCGGCCAACAAGCGCAGATACAAGCAATAATAGCCTGAATTGCATGTTTCGCCATGTCAACCAGTGATGGGACTCTTGTCGCACTCCATAAAGGGTCGCTTTCCCCTTGCTAGAAATACAGCTCTGCGTGATTTCAGGTCTCTGTCGTAGCTTTCTCACCTTGAATCGCGAATTCCGTGATTCAACACTTCGATCGATTACCTATCCCCGTCACCAAGCCCGTTTCCCAAAAAGGCCACATATCATCCTTTCTCACAATGTCAGACGCCACCTTCGAGTTCTTGCCCCTGGGCGCCATCCTGCAGTCCTTCAAGGTCAAGGGCGTCAACATTGTCCAGGGCTTCCCGACCCAGGATCTCTACGAGAAACACAACTCGCCCTACTTTGGCGTCACCGTCGGCCGCGTCGCGAACCGCCTCGCCTCAGCGCAGATCAAGTCTCTCAACGGGGGCAAGACGTACAAGCTCGCCGCCAACGACGGCAACAACAACCTGCACGGCGGCGCCAAGCCCTGGAGTTCCAAGGTCTGGGAGGGCCCCAAGCCCGTCGGCGTCCGTGAGATCCCGGGCATCGAGGGCCTTAAGGGTGGGGAGAGCGTCGAGTTCTCGCTCACCAGCGAGGACGGCGACGAAGGGTTCCCCGGAAAGGTCCAGGTGAAGGTCATCTACACGGCCGGCACGCAGCAGGTGGATGGCAAGGAGGTCTCGGTGCTGGGCATGGAGTACGAGGCGCAGCTTGTGGACGGCGCTGAGGAGACGGCGATTAACATGACGAACCACTCGTACTTTAACCTCACGGGCGACGAGACCTTTGCCGGCACCGTCGCGACGCTGGCGACGAACGCGTACTTGCCCCGCGAGGATGGTATCCCCACCGGTGGACCCGCGCCTTTCCCGGGCATCGAGGGCGGTAAGCCGTTTGAGCTCGGCGTCGAGGCGCCTGCGGTAGACGACTGTTTTGTCGTTGTCGAGGAGAAGGAGGCTGGCGCGGTACCGATTGATACGCGCCAGGCGCCGCTGAAGCTGCACGTGCACGCGAAGCACCCCAAGAACGGGGTCAACCTCGAGGTTCTCAGCACGGAGCCGGCGTTCCAGTTTTACACGGGCGAGGGGATTGCTGTCCCCGCCGTGGGAGGGGTTGCGGCGCGGGGCAAGAGGAGCGGGTTCTGTGTTGAGCCGAGTCGGTGGGTGAATGCGATTAATGTGGACGAGTGGAAGGGCCAGATGTTGTTGAAGAAGGGGGAGACGTATGGCACTCGGATTGTGTACAAGGCTTGGAGCGAGTAGAGAGTACTCTGGAAGTTTTTGGTTCTGAGGGGTGGATATGATATCAATGAGTACCTAGAATGGACAATGAACGCGCCCGTATTTGGAGTCTGCTCAGTGGTTTGACTTGACTTTGACATTGTAAGTCGGTGAGCATCTCTCGCAACCTGGCAGCTTCGTCATCCTGATGTATGGCACTGAAAGACTGCATTGTCCAGTGTGTGCGGCACTTCTGAGCAGCTCTTCTAGCTTTGGGCGTCTGGGGGTATATGTCAGCCAGCAGCATCCGTGTGGGATGGAAATGACCCGATTTGGCTGAATCTTCTGACGAAGCTGGGGGATCACAAAAGATGAGACGAAGACAAAAGAGGTGAGATGTTCACACGGCGTAGACGGCGTACGCAGCTCACCGAGGGGCTCTAGCTTTATTTTAGCGTGGTGTGTTTAGCTTATCGCGCCTACGCAACGGTCATTTGGTGGGCATTTTGCAAGTTTGTACTCCGTACTGAGGAAAGGAAGGACCAGCCCAGATCCAAAGGGTAACTGCCGGATCTGCCTCCCACGACTAAAAGTATTCCATCACTTGACCAAGTTAGAGCCTTTCTCTTCAACAACTACCTCACCGTACTTTACCCTTTCTTACCTTGGTCACTTGCTTAAATCTTCTTGACCGCCACTGATTCACGATACCCAATATCCTCGAGGATTCAAACTTACAACTTCACTTACCTAACCAAGACAATATCTTACCAGCCAACAATTGCGGTTCTTCGCCTTATTGCATCGTCCGACTCATTCCTATTTGCCAACGATACCCCGAACGAGTCAGATACCTCCCTAAATCAACCCACACTACCTATCAACCGCCTAGGTGCGGCGCTACCTGCACAGTATACCTTACCACACACAGAACAACCATGGCTGAACCCTTCCCAACCCCGACGACGACGCCGAAGCGCAAGAGGGACGAGGACGCCCCGCCGGTGTCGCCGATATACACAACCTCCAAATTCTCCTTCCAGCTGCCCGCCGACCATCCCAAGAGCAGCGACGCAGAGGACGGGAGCGCAAGCCCGCACAGCAAGGTCGTTCACAAGTTTCGTGGTCTGGCGTTGGTTGGGAATAGTGGTGGGGGCGGGGTAGCCCAGCAACAGAACCGAGCCTCCGCTGCTGCTGCTGCTGCTGGACCCCAGGGTCTTTACGCACACGGCAGCGCCGCATATGACCCGACGCGCGACGAGCACAAGAACAGTAGCGGGTACGGATATTCTGACGACGACCCCTTTGCGAGCCGCAAGAGAGTCAAGGTTCTTGAGCTGGAGATGACGGACGTTGAGGGCGACAACAGTGCCGCCGCTACCGCTACCGCTATTACTACAACGGCCACAGATGCACTGGTCGTCATTCCGGACCCCGAGGTCAAGAGCGATCCGGTGCCTACCCCGAAATCGAACCTTACCGAAGAAGACGCTCCCAGTGCTACCGCTGCAATACTGCCCGCGAGCGCACAACAACAGCGCTCGCATCCTTCGATCGACAAATTACAAGATCCAAAAGTACGAGGACGGAGACGAGCTGGTACACCACCGCTAAAGGGTCGCAAGGGGACAAGCAAGACCAACCCCACCAACGCAGCATCTGCCATTGCTGGACCGCAGCAACAGCAAGAAGACCAGGAGATGAAGACGATTGTGGACCCGGTCAGGGCCGCGCTTACCTGGAAGGAGGAAGAGATTACGATTTACGACCCAGAAGACAAGGACGACGATGGCACGGGCATCAACGGGGTTGGGTTCATGCCTACAGCTGCGATGGCATATGCGCGAACACAAAAGCGCCGCCTGCAGCTGGCCGAGTACAAGAAGAGGGAGGAGAGCGAGGCGAGGGCTAGGAGAAGTCAGCGGAGACGAGGGAGCGGTGCTGGTCTTCCTTCTAAGCCTTCTGCTGGCGGCACCAGCGGCGGCGTGCGGAAGGTGCGCTTCACCGAATCGGAAGCCAGCACAGTTGTGACGAACGTCTAAGGACAGTTACATAATGGGTGCAAGCAGCGAAACTTTTTGTGATGAGGCCTGGTATCATTGGGCCTTGTCATTTGACTTTGGTATGGCCCAGGCTGAAGAAATGGCCACGGAAGGCTTCGTATGGCGTTAGGGATAGGGGGCGTTTATGAACCACATGGGTGCGTCTATTTACGAATGGACTTTTTTCTGGATTGCGGTTCATCACTTGGATGATGACCAGCACGATATCCCCTCCACATCACGCAGCAAAGACTGCGACAGGAATTATAGGAAATGGGGTAACAAGGGAGAATGGATGAAATGATACAAATAGTCTTTCTTTTATACCCCCAAATCGAATGGATGATGATACAGTTATTTCAACACATGTGCATCGCGGGCCAAAGCCACTCGCAGATGCCCTTCTCTTCCGCCTTTGTGAAGTATTATTCATACAAGGCATGGTTTGACAAAAAGATCCCATAGAGAATGCCGGCCTTTTCTTTCTCTCCACCACGAACGAGTTCCTTTCACCAGAACTTGTACCAAGACTTCTGGCTGGCGGCCTTTGCCTCCTCCTCGGCCTTTCTCTGCTCGGCCTGCTGCTTGAGTTGCTCAATCTCGCGGCGGCGCTTGTCGATCATGGTCTCCTGGTAGACCTCGACGGTGCGCTTCATCTTGACGCGCTCCTGCCGCCGCTTCATCTGGCAGTACTCATAGGAGCCGATGCAGCCGATGAGGAAGCTGCCTACGGCCCAGTTTGCGGCCTTGATGGGTGAGCCTGGTTGAAGGGTTTAGTGGTTTTGCTCTCATCCTGAATGTGTATGAGTGTAGTGCACGAAAAGGGGGCAGGTGGATGAGTGTGAGTATAGGTGTGAAGGTAAGGTGATGTGAAAGGGAAATTCTCATATTGAGACAAGGTAGAATAGGAAGAAAAGGAGAAGATTTACCTCCAAAGACATATCTGAATCCTCCTACACCAGCACCGCTAGCGATACCAGTCAGGAACCCGTCCCGCGCGCATGGCGTCTGCGTGACGGAGAGGAAGTCGTCCGACTTGATGGTCTTGACGGCCTCGCCAATGGACGGATACCCCGGTGCGGCGGCGCCGTCCTGCGTCGGGAAGTTTCTCTGGAAGTCGGTCGGGTTGAGCTTGGGATCGGACGCTTGCTCCGGTGGTGATGGTGGTGAAGTTGGTGATGCTGTGGTAGGTGTTGAACCCGGAGCTCCCTCCCCGACTGGCCCTTGGCTTGAACGGGACCAGAGGTATAGTTTCTGCCCTTCCTTCTTGGGGCCCGGGATGTTGTCTGGTGAGTCTGCCATTATGTGCAAAAGTCTAGCTCTTATTTGTCTAGTGTGTGACTGAGATTGGGCGCATCCGATGCTGGTTCTTGTGAATCCCGATTCTTCGACTTTCGGTCCGTCCTCCGGTAAAGCTCTCTCTTAAAGTCTGCCCGTGGCCTGAGATGACGTCCACCGAATTTGGACCTCCACTCCCCCCCGTCGACGGTTCGTTGCTGGGCCGGTGTCCATGGTCCGTGCCCCTGCGTTTAAGTTCCCCTGCAGGATGAAGTGCGCTGCGCAGTTGTCGCGCAGGCTTAATTGAAGTGGGTCCCCGGTCTCCTGTTCTGGCCTGCAGAACGTGCAGATTTCGCGTAAAGTCGCGACGGGGAAGACGCGTCTTTGGTACCATCCTTTTTGCCCTGGACAACGAGTAATTGGATAGTGGCCCTCCACTCTCGTCCCCGAAGCGCAAAAGCTCAATGCTCTCTGGTTCTCGAACACAAGAGTGACAAATCCCACTCTCCCACTCGTCCAATTCCTATTCCTAGGATCGTCAATATCCCGTTTTCTCTCGGTTGTTCATGGGTTTTTCGTCACCAAGACAGGCTTCCCTTTATTTGTTGGTCTTGACAGAGATAGAGAGAGAGCCTTCTTGATACCCACCACCAGTCTCTCATTGTCAAGTCTTCCCCACTGCTACAAACCTAGACGTTCGTCTCTGTGGTCTTGTCTCATGACTCCATAGAGGCTGCGATTTCCTCGAGAGACCTTCTTTACCTAGAGTCCCTCGACGGAGATCTACACCGATCAACAAGACACCTCGAAACCTTTCCTCCCACCAAACCTCTTAACCACGCAACAACCACCCACAATGCCCAACACGAGCCTGCGGCGCCCGCAAAAGGGCTACCGCCGCGGCGGCAAGCAAGCCTACCACGGCCCCTCACGAACGACGCGCACCTTCGCCGCCTCGGGCCGCAACGAGGCCACCTCGGCCGACGAGAAGTGGGAGCGCACCCGGCTAGCGCACCAAATCGACGAGAACATGGGCTTCGCCCGCTACGAGGGCGGCAAGCGCAAGGAGGGCTGGCTCGTCAACGTGCAGCCCACCTCGGTCGAGGACGACCGGAACCCCAACGGGCGGGCGGCGCTCGACTGCTACTTCATCGAGGACGACGGCGCGCACTTTAAGGCGACGGTCGAGTACGACCCGTATTTCCTGATCGCTGTGAAAAAGGGCCGCGAGAGCGAGGTCGAGGAGTGGTTGAAGCGCGTGCCCGGCGGCGGCGTCGTCAAGACGATCAAGAGGGTGGATAAGGAGGATTTGAAGATGCCGAATCACCTGCTGGGGTACCGCCGCACGTTTCTGGAGCTGAGGTTTGCCAATGTGGCGGATTTGATGGCGGCGAGGAAGGATATTATGCCTATTGCGGCGAAGAACAGGAAGAATGTGGATGCTTTGGACGCATATGCAGAGGTTTCAACGTAAGCTTTCGTGCGATATTGGGTGATTTCGTTGACTGACGCGCTGCACAGGATGAATGGCGACTTTGACCTTTTTGACGATTCACGAGATGACGATAGACGAACGAATGCTTCTTTTGCCGACGCCAGCGACTTTATTGTCGATATTAGAGAGTACGACGTACCGTACCATGTAAGAGTAATGATAGATATGGGTAGGTTTGGGTCCTCGGAGCTTGGAAGCGGTCGCGGCTAACCCCTCGACAGATATCCGGGTGGGAAAATGGTACTTCATCGACGTCAAGCACGGCGTCACAAAAGTCACAACCAACGAGGACCGACTCGCCATGGCAGACCCGGTAGTCATGGCCTACGATATCGAGACGACGAAACTGCCCCTCAAATTCCCCGACGCCGCCATCGACCAGGTCATGATGATTTCGTACATGATTGACGGGCAGGGGTTCCTGATCACGAACAGAGAAATCATTTCCGAGGATATTGGCGACTTTGACTACACCCCCAAACCGGAATACCCAGGACCCTTTATGATTTTCAACGAACCGGACGAGAAGGCCGTGCTGGAGAGGTTCTTCCTGCACATCAAGGAGGCGAGGCCGACAGTCATCGCGACATACAACGGTGACTTTTTCGATTGGCCCTTTGTCGACGCCCGAGCTAGCATCAACGGCATCGACATGTACCAGGAGATTGGATGGAAGAAGGACAGCGAGGACCAGTACAAGTGCAGCTACAGCGTTCACATGGATTGTTTCCACTGGGTGAATCGAGACTCCTACTTGCCTCAGGGATCCCGAGGCCTGAAAGCTGTTACCGTCGCCAAGCTCGGTTACGATCCCGACGAGCTCGATCCCGAACTCATGACGCCTTACGCCCAAGAACGCCCCCAGACCCTGGCCGAGTACTCAGTGTCCGATGCTGTAGCGACGTACTACCTATACATGAAATACGTCCACCCCTTCATCTTCTCTCTCTGCACGATTCTGCCGCTTGGTGGTGACGACACGTTACGAAAGGGTACCGGTACCCTTTGCGAGATGTTGTTGATGGTGCAAGCCTACCAACAAGAGATTGTATTACCAAACAAGCACGTATCGCCGAGAGAAGCGTTTTACGAAGGGCACTTGCTTGACTCAGAGACGTATGTCGGTGGCCACGTCGAAAGTATTGAAGCAGGTGTCTTCCGCGCCGATATTCCCGTCAATTTCGCAGTTGATACGGGGGCAGTCGATGAGCTGTTGAACGACTTGGACGCCGCGCTCAAATTCAGTATCACGGTGGAGGAAAAGAAGTCCATGGACGATATTGAGAACTACGACGAGATCAGGGAGCAAATCGCTTCCCGGTTGCGCGCATTGAAGGAGACACCGAATCGGAGCGAGCGACCCCTGATCTACCATCTCGATGTTGCGTCCATGTACCCCAACATCATGACCACAAATCGTTTGCAACCAGACTCTATGATTCAAGAGTCAGACTGTGCGGCATGCGACTTTAACCGACCCGGCAAGACGTGCGACAGACGCATGCCATGGGCATGGAGAGGTGAATACTTGCCGGCGAAGCGCGACGAATACAACATGATCAGGAATGCTCTGGAGAATGAAAAGTTCCCTGGCAAGTGGCCGAATTCGCCCCAGCGGACGTTTCAGGATTTGTCGCCCGACGAGCAGACGGCTCTCCTACGGAAGCGGTTGCAGATCTTCTCGCAAAAGGTCTACCACAAGATCCACGACTCGACGACGACTGTCAAAGAGGCCATCATCTGCCAGCGAGAGAACCCGTTCTACATCAACACCGTACGAGATTTCCGTGATCGTCGATACGATTACAAGGGTAAAGCCAAAGTCTGGAAGGGTAAGACGGAGGCTCTCAAATCCTCTGGCGCAACCTCCAGCGAAGTTGATGCGGCGAAGAAGATGATTATTCTATTCGATTCGCTGCAACTTGCCCATAAGGTTATTTTGAACTCCTTCTATGGTTATGTCATGAGAAAGGGTTCCAGATGGTATTCGATGGAAATGGCTGGTGTTACGTGTCTGACGGGAGCGACGATCATTCAGCTGGCCAGATCGCTCGTTGAGCGATTGGGTCGTCCCTTGGAATTGGATACCGATGGTATCTGGTGTATGCTTCCCGCCACGTTCCCGGAAAACTTCGCCTTCAAGACCAAGGGGGGCAAGAAGGTCACCATCTCGTACCCTTGTACCATGTTGAACCATTTGGTTCACGCCAAGTTCACCAACCACCAG